CTGGAGAGCACTGGTTGGGGAAGAGACTGCCTTACATTGACTGGTGGAGTAATCCTGCCTTGAAATGGACTTTTAACTTCACCAGTTAGCGCCAGCACGGTGCAGTGGTTTGAGTGTTAGACTATGACTCTGGAATTCAAAGATATAGCTATGTTAATCTGTAGAATCAGTACATAGAGAAATCTTGTAGCACCTTTGAGACTAACTGAAAGAAAGAAATTGGCAGCATGAGCTTTCGTAGATTTCAGTCTACTTCCTCAGATTGCTTTTGGTGGAGTGGAGGCCAAGTCTGTGCCTGGCCTCCATTCCACCAAATGCATCTGAGGAAGTAGACTTATGACTCTGGAGACCAGGATTCAATTCTCTGATCGGCCATGAAACCCACTTGGTGACCTTGGGCAACTCACATTCTCTCAGCCTCAGGGGGAAGAAGAAAGCTACCAGTAAAACCCCATGATAGGTTTGACTTAGGGTCGCCATAAGCTGGAAATGACTTGAAAGCTTACAACAATGATGATACATACTATGGACTGCCACAAGGACAAACAAATGCGTGCAAATCAACCCCAAACTAGAAACCAAAATGGCCAAACTGAAGCAGTTGGACTTTGGACATATCATGAATTGACATGACTCCCTGGAAAAGATGATAGTGCTGGGTAAAGCCAAAGGCAGTAAGAAAAGAGGATGCCTGGGTTAAATGTGGATTGATTCAATCAAGGAAACCATGGGTCCTTGGACTGCAAGAGCTGAACAGATCTTTCTAAAACAGGGTCTCCCAATGGATTCAGATTTATCCAGTCACTGTAAGTCAAGGCTGACTTGACAGCACGCAACAACAACAAATGGCAGGATAATGGGTTATTTAGTATTTAGCAGGTATGCATTCCAAGGCGTCAGTGAGACTAGGGCTGAAAGCATAGACAGGCTTGTGAGACACTTTCACCAGCTGATCCCCATCAGACAGGCACTGAACTGTGAGAGGAAGCCTGTTTTAGGATAAGCCTAAGGGATTTGCTAACCTTTTAACTCTCTTCCTTGCAGCGGACAGCCAACAGAAATGTTTCCCAGCATTTTAATTACAGGAGGTTTCTAACAAAGGTTCAACATTAATTCCTCCTGACAGGTAAGTAATGTTTCAGCCTCAAGGGTTTTTTCCTCTGTAGGGGAATCCCAACAGGTATTCAAGTTTGCCCTAATCATGCCATGGCCAGGAGGATGATTTTAAGAGGGATTTCCCAAATGGTTTTTAAACACTAGATCAGTGGTTGGCAAACTATGGCCTGGCCCGCTGAGGCCTTCTAACCGGCCCATGGCTGGTTTTGCTGCCGCGCGTGCACAAACATGGGACACCATTTTGCCTTCCAAAATGGCGCCCATGCTCGCGCACGCATGTGCACAATGGCGGGCGCCATTTTGGAAGGCAAAACGGCGCCAGCGTCGCAAGTGCATGCACACCGAATTCGACACTTGGGGGAACCAAAGAGGATTTCCCTGTATTTTCCGACATCACAATAGTAACAGTAATGGTAACTTGTAAGTAATGAGTAACTCAGCAAATTATGTTTCTGGACTGCAGCAACAGTAACAAGCGATAACACCCTGGGTGCTCAGATTAATGAGTAAAGGGACTAATTCCATATTTTAAAAAAATAACATTCTGGACTCACAGAATTCACATTGTAATATTATGCCAGTGTCTCAGCAGCACTAAAAAGCCCCAAAGTGGAAGCATCCAGAGAACAAAATGACTCTTTATAAGTGCTTATGAGCAACATGCCACCCATCTGTTTTATCAGTGCTTCTTGAGACCCTTCTGTTCTTCCAGATTTCCAATTAAAATGAATTTTGCATTGTACTCCATCTCTCCCTGCATCAATAAGCCACTGTACTGACCGTCTCAAAGCTTCTCCCAAAGAAGAATGCCTCCCTACCACCTGAAGAGTGCAGAAGCCTGTTTCCTTAGAAACATGGAGACTCACACCATGCACATCACTCTTCAAAAAAATGCAGAATATCTCACAGATTGTGTTGGCTTTAAAGCACCATTCTTCAAACTCTTCTTCCTTTTTCTAAAAAGAGCAATCAAATTGCCCAAATATTAAGTAAGATTCCATGGGAAAGCATCAGGCTTTTCAGAATGACCAGATGTCATAACCATAAAGGAAGGACAAAGCACCGCAAAATGTAGGGACATTCAAGAAAAATGTAGAACATTATGAAATAAAAGCTAGAAACACTAATATAAATTCATGCTTCTTAGTCATGCTCAAAATGGAGGACTTTTTGGGAATTCCTCTTCGACAGAAGGCTGAAATGTGAGCCACATCATGGAAAAGGAGGATGCCTGGTCACCCTGCTTGTAGGGTAAGCCCTCCAAACTGCAAGAGACCAGCTTAAAAACCAGGAACCCCAAGTCAACTCACGAAGGAGTACAAAGGCCTTGACACATGTGGGGCCTTTGCAAGACTCCCTGACTTTCAACACCCCACAGAGAAAACATTAAAATCAAATCAGGTATATACTCTCTCATAGGCTATTAAAGGAGAATCTTATTGCCATTTTTAACTGTGCCTTCAGGTGATACTTGAAAGCATAATGGACACAAGAACAAACAAAGAGTCAACTTGCAGGAGTTAATTTACAGAGGCAATCATAAATTCCAATGTGAAACACACACATACCAACAAGGGTAGCCCTTTTCTGGCCAGGCTGCAAAATACAACAAAATACAAAATCCACAAAAAGAGATACCTTTATTGGCCTCCCAACAATGTATGTTGCATGATGTATTTTGTGCATTTTGGTTATCCAATAAAGGTATCACTGGTTTGTGTATTTATAAAACTCACTCTCTTTTCCCCCTCCAAAAATTTGCATCATTTCACCAATTAAGAGTTGGGAGTAGGAGGGGAGGAGTCAGGAACAGGGGGAACTGACATAGTATATTTGTAATAATTCCATAAATTTAAAAGATAATTAAATTTTAAAAATTGCACCTCATATGTAGTAAGTAAGATGCATGAGCATCTTCTCATGCTAGGGGGAAGTTAAACCTAACCAAGAGTTGGATGTCCAATCTAGAGCACAAAAGACTTGCACATATTATGAATCATAGAATCAGAGTTGGAAAAGACCCCAGGGCCATCCAGTCCAACCCCTTGCCATGCAGGAACACACAATCAAAGTACCCCCAATAGATGGCCAGCCAGCCTCTGTTTAAAGACCTTCAAAGGAGACTACCACTCTCCGAGGGAGTGTTTCCACTGTCAAACAGCTTTTACTGTCAGGAAGTTCCTCCTAATGTTAAGGTGGAATCTCTTTTCCTGGAGCTTGCATCCATTGTTCTGGGTCCTAATCTCTGGAGCAGCAGAAAACAAGCTTGTTCCCTCCTCAATATGACATCCTTTCAAATATTTAAACAGGGCTATCATATCAGCTCTTAACCTTCTCTTCTCCAGGCTAAACATACCCAAAAATCAAGGTACCCTAATGATATTACCTGCTTTCTTGTTAACTGCCCTCAAGTCAACCTCAATTCACGCTGACCCTGTAGATGAGATCTCTAAGACTCCCTGTCTTGCACTGCTCTGCTTAACATTTACAGGCTTGTGTCCATGACATCCCTAATTGAGTCTATCCATCTGGCATGTAGTCAACCCATTTTTCCACTATCCTCATCCTTTCCTTTTCTAATGAGTCCTACCTTCTCGTAATGTGGCCAAAATGTGACAATTTCAATTTGATAACCTTGGCTTCTAGGGATATTTCAGGCTTGATCTGTTCAAGGACCCATTTGTTTGTATTTTCCGTTGTCGCCGGTTTACTCAGCACTCTTCCCCAGCACACCCCCACTAAGAAAAACGTAAGGTAAATTTGCCAGCTGCTACTCCAAAAGTTTCCCTTTCTCTTTAAATCTTTTGCTGAAATGGGAAAGGAAGTAGTTATACAGTCTTCTGTCCTTCTCCTTCAGATCCTTATGTTCATCCCATTCCCCTAGCTTTGATATGACATGCTTGGAAGTGGTAGATGAAGCAAGGTTCCTTATTCCAAATTCTTAATTTGGGTGAAACTCTGAAAACAGCCAGTTGGCTCTGTATTTAGAAGTCCATTCAGGCCGACTGAGGGTGCATCTACACTGTAGAAATAATGCAGTTTGACACTACTTTAAGTGCTGTAGCTCCATCCTACGAAATCCTGGGATTTTTAGTTTTACAGGCTCTTTAGCCTCCTTTGCCTGAGTGCTGGTGCCTCAAAAAACTACAGATCCCAGGATTCTGTAGCATAGAGCCGTGGCAGTTAAAGTTGTGTCAAACTGCTTCATTTCTACAGTGTAGCTACACCCTGAGGTCAACGAAATCCCAGAGAGGACACTATCCTGATAATGAAAGTGAATGATTTGGGGTGATTTAGGATTTATTTAGGGGGTATAGAATCCTATCTCCTTATTTTTCATTGCCATCTTATGTCATCTTATGTATGAGTAGTATTTAAAAATGGCTTGATAGATTAGAACGAATGTTTTAAAAATCTTGAAGGGGAGAGCTTTCTGTTTATGGAAAGAGAAACATGGAGCATTTAAAAGCTGAAATTAGAGTGCAGGGGCATTTAAATCTCATGTGCTTAGATTATTTGGCTGTGCTTCAAAGTTTCACACAAGTAAAGAACTAGGAATAAAGAACCAGCTTCAGCCTCACGCAGATAAAAGGATCAGAGGGATGCATGGGGATATGAAAAAGTGTGGTTGCCTTGTCCTGCTCTGCTACTAAAGCAAGAGATTTAAAGGGAAAACGGGAAATAACTTTATTTGCAATTTAGCAACACTCCTCCTTAAGGATCCTACACTTCAAACTGTTCAAAATTACCTCAAAGAAGTGAGCCTGGTCACAAATGACAGGAAAAGGCATGAACTAGCAAAGAAACTGCTGAGAGATTTCTTCACTATCAACTATAGCAGGTTTTGCCTGTTTCACAAGTCCCATACTTCAGGATAAGAGCCAGCCAGCGTGGTGTATTGGTTTGAGCACTGGACTATGACTCTGGAGACCAGGGTTCAATTCCCAGCTCAGCCATGAAACCCACTGGGTGACCTTGGGGAAGTCACATGCTCTCAACCTCAGGGGAAAGCAATGGAAAATCTTCTCTGAACAGATCTTGCCAAGAAAACCTCATTAGGGTCACCATAAATTGAAAACAACTTGAAGGCACACAACAACTAAAGCACATATAAATAAACTAAAGCAACGCTGGCAGGAAAAGCAAATAGTTGTACTATATAAACAGCTCTTCTTTACGTTAGAGGATGAAATAAAACCTTACACCACTCACTCCTGTAGAATCTGATTGAAAATCAAGTTTATATTTTCACTACATTTTCACTACATCATTCTTTTCTAGCAGCAGCACCGGGCCATCTAAAATCAGTTCCACTGGAAGTTTTATTTAAAACCCATGAAAGTTTTCTGTTTCTATTTATTTTATGCCCTTGTCTCTCTAACATATATTTTCATAACAACCCTGTGAAGTAGGTTTAGGTAGTGAAGCAATGACTGCCCTAATCCACCCAGCAACCTTCATGGATACATACAAATTTGAACCCAGGCCTTGTGGGTCCAAGTTGAATACTCTTCCCACTGCATCATGATTTGAACCCAGGCCTTTTGGGTCCAAGTTAAATACTCTTCCCACTACATCATGGCTATTCTGTCAAAGATTCTCCATGGATCTGGAAGATTAAGGGACAAGACATTCTTCAGAAGAGGTATGCATACAGTTAGAGGCACAGTTTGAATTCATCAATATACCCATGTATCTTTTAAATCTCATCAAACCCTTGACATGAGCAACAACTCATATCAAACAGTTCCACAATCTAAGCAGACACCACATGAATATCTATTCCTTTTGCTTCTTTTGGATCTGCCAACTTTCAATTGTTGCTTAATGTCTTTCTGTTCTTGCATTATCAGCCAGGCACGGGAAAAAAACTGCTCCCAATCTGCCTTCTCAATGCCATTTATCATGTTAAACATTCATGTCTCCCTTCGTTAGTTTCCTCTCTAATTTGAACTATTCCATTCCTGTCAGCCACTTCACATGACAAATTATTTGGGCCTTTAATCATTTTTTGCCCCTTCAAAACAAAAACAAAATAAGAAAAACCAAAAGAGCAAGAAAAAGAAAGAGAGAGAGAGAGAGAGAAAGAAAGTGCCCCATATTTCTTCCAATTCAGTTAGTCTCTCATTTGACAAAAAACAGTTGGAGGATTCCAAACAAGAACAAGAAAAGACATTCATCACAGTGCTGAAGTTGTGTTATTTTTCTACCCGTTTCTCTGTCATAATGAGGTGCCTGCAACAATGCCCAGTCATTTTTCTGAAACTTACATGGGAACGATATATTATTGTATTATACGACAATGCATAAGCAATTTAAAATTTCTTCCTATGTCAAGGTTTATCTCTACATTTATTTTTTCTTTTGAATTTTACCTGCCATCTAATAATCCGTCGATAACACACTCACTATTCAGTCCCTGACCAGCCTCAGTCGTCCTTCTCACAACAGGGATGCACATATTTGGGAGGGGGGAGTTGTAATATTTTCCCCAATCCAGCACTCCCTAGTTGTGGTGAAAGACAATGGCCATCCTGGTTGAGGATGATGCCACATGTCATCTGAAATGACTGGATGGTGCTGCACTGGGGAAGATTGCTTTATTGCAATATTCTAAAATAGGAGCATCCATAAGAGGACAGATTGAGTTCTTGGTACCAAACTCGATATTTTTCAAGGCTGACACTTGCTTCTGGGGAAAAATGTATTTCCGACCACTGACAATGGAGGAAAACTTTACAAGTATGTGAATAAGTATTTGGTAAACTCTTACAAGGAAGGAGGGCTTTCACAGAGTTTGGAAAAGTTAGATTTGGGGTAAGAATTCCCAAAATCCTTTGCTCAGCTCACTGAAGGATTCTGGGAATCGCAGTCCAAAAAGAAATTTTTCCAAGTTCTAGGTTTTCCTGGTGAAGTGCGTGGAAGAGATGATGCTTCAGTGCTTTGCTACCTGTAGCCTTACTCCTTGGCCTCTTCAAGCCACCAACCCATGCTCCATACTGTTTCCTACTTTATCTTTGCCAGTCCTTAACAAAGGAGTCCAGGTTCTTTTCAATCAATGAGTTTGAACAGTGAGAACGTATATGCCAAAGTGGCACTGCATGACTTACTTGCAATGGTAAAACTTTAGATTTCCCTGTCATCAAATGTAAGGAGCCATGGCAGAGGAAGTATAGCCCAAATGATTCTTCATGGGGAGAGAATTGCAAGATATTTTAAGCACATCCTTCCAGTGGTGCTTGGTGGCTTCTATGCCAGTGGGGCCTTGAAGTTTGAGTCTAAAATTTAAAGGCACTGTCCAAGGTGCTGAATCAATTTGTGGACTTAGGGTTCAAGCCCTGTGGATCCTTCAAAGTTCAGGCTAACACCCATTCCACTTTCTCTAGCCCATTGGCATGGAACTCAGTATGTGACATTGCACCTTTCAGTCTGTATACAATCACCAGTCTTTTACAATGTCCAATGTCCACTCAGTCCTAAATGTAATCAAAGGAAGAGATGGATTTAGTCATCCTTCCTTATCACGCACAGTATGCAGCCACGGAAGATCAAGTGGGATCAAAGTGCTATAACCACGTAGTGCGAAAGGGACCCTGATATGTACCAACCAGCCTTTGAGATATTTGATGGAGGAGGAGGTTGCTTATATCCCTCCGCCACAGGTGATGTCAATGGGCCTTCTTTGCTTTGGTACCCTCATTTGAAAACTCTCTAATTTTGCAAGTGTGTCAGGTGTCTTCAGTAACTCAGTTTTCCTATTTATGAAGACACACTTCATCATTCAGTCTTTGGTTCCCTTTGATGCCGGTTAAAGTGTCTTTTAGGTCAGTTGAACAGTCTGTGGTGAGGGTCCCCAACTTTGGGGGCTGAAGGGTACATTTGGAATATTGAATGTGCTATGAACACTCTCACAAAATGGCTGTTGTTCAGGGTTGGAAGGCCTGTCTATTCAAAAATGGCTACCATGGTCTGCATAGCCAGAACCAAAATAAAAAATCCACTACCCAGAAGCCAAACTGATGAGACTGAAAGAAAATAACTTGTCCAAGGACCCAGGAATGATGCAGAGATGGACTAGGATTCCAAAGCACAATGCTATAATTTTGAATGTTGTCTATTCTGTATCGCTAACTTCCACATAAAATGAACTGATGAGTAACTTGACTAAAAAAATAAGTATGGTGCATATGTGGGTCCGACCCACAAAAGGCAAAGCTCAAAAAAGGACCCAGAAGATGATACACACCCAACCTCAAAGTACCCAACTTATCTTTCCTTTCTTCATTTTTCAAGGCTGGCTGGGCATGGTTCAAAGTGCTAGCATGCAGCTGCCCAAAATCTTTACTGTCTCAGATCATCTTTGGGAAAACATGGCCCCAAAACATTATTGGAAATAAAGGTATGCCAGAAGCCACCACAAGTTTCATTTTACACCATGCTAGCTCTCAGTTTAATTTAACTGAAACAAGTGGAAAACATTTGGGGGGGGGGTCCCTTTAAAAATCAAGAGAGACAGGGAAACATCATGTTGAGGACTTCTCAGCCATCATGTTACAAATTCTAGCCTTATGGTACATATTATCTAACTGTTGGCTGGATTTTATTATCTTTGCAAGTTTTGTTAATATTATTTTATTAGTATTTGTGTGTTGTAAATTTTATTCTCATTTGTAAAAGCCAAAAAGGCATTTATTTTTGCAGATTCTTCAGAATCTAAACGAGTGCTTTCATTTGTCTCACTGCTTTTTTTATTGTGCCTTTTATTAGGTGTGATTTGTGTTTTGCTTTTATGTAGTTAGTTAGCTGCCTGGGGATCCAGTGACGGAAGGCAGAATACAAATGAAATATATAAACTACTCTATGATTATTATTTTTTTGTTGTTAAATGAAAAGAATGGAAAGCAGTACGTAAATTCAATAAAGCAAATCAATAAATAAGGTACATCAGGAAGAGAGCTGAGCTAAGAAAATGAAAAAAAAACCTGTCTTGGATAGAAAAACCCCTAATCCTTGTAACATTCTGGCCTATTAACTAGACCCAATTAACCAATCAAAGCGATGCAACTCCACAAAAGATGAGCGACCAGGCAGAAACAATGCACACTCTTCTATAATGCAATGCCACAGCCCATTTGCCTTCTCTGTACGTGGCATCATTTCTCCGTGGAACCATGCCAGAGCCTTCGAAAACAAATATCACTACTGCAGTCCTTTTGACATCTGCCACTGCTTTTCCTCTCACTGGAAACATATGCTCCTGTCAACGCCTGGGTAAAAAGCTGTTCCCTCTATGGTTCTCTCTTGCTGACAACACACTCCGTCACAGCAACTGCTCTCGGCCTCGTACAAACCATCTCTGCCCGGAAGGAGACTGCCATTCCAACTGCTATGTCCACCGTGGCTTCTCTCTCTTTCTTCTTTGCTCTGCTTTGCATTCCAGATGCAAAGTAGGTTAGAAAGAAACCATAATGTGGAAGGATTCTGGAAGCATGCATGCAGTAAAAGAAAGGGGGGGACCCTATAGACAGGAAAGCTGATGAATGGCAGCTGGGAATGTTTATTCAAGCTTGCTCATCTCTCCAGACAGAGGAGACAAAGCTGATGATCCAGCTGGGGGTAATTCAAGCAGAAGACAGCTTTAATAGGAACCTAGATTCCTGAGTAAGGAGATATTTCAAGTCACCTAGCTCTCTGCCAATGGTTTTTGAAAAATGAAATCAAAGAGCAAAATAGAAACACTAAATACACATTGCACATTGCATACATACTCAGCTTCCAGGTTTGGGTTTGCAGAAAGTGGTAGCTTAAAAATTAAAAAAGAAAAAATAATGTCAAATGGTAGTAACCATCACAAGGGGGATGGAGTGGGATGGAGAGGCAGTTGTTTCTAAAAGCAGCAACTATACAAGAACAAAGAAAACTGTCCTATATTGAGGAAGAACATCAGTGTATCTGT